TCACAAGTGTGGATGCATCTTAGTCTGGTGTCTCAGCCTTGGCCATTCTGCCTTAGCAGGTGACCCTGCTAAGAGACAAGCCTAGTGAGACTATACTGGCCTCCTGATGGCTTTTTTGATGCTCTCAAACCCCTCATCAATTAAGGAATTGCATTTAAGAAGGGGAAACCATTAGAGAGGGACTCCATCTTCTAAAGATGATCCTATGAAACAGAATAAAAATAGTTGGCAGAGCACTGTTGTTGGCTTCATTTTACTTAAAAAGAATGTACTTACAAGGTTCAAAGTATGGTGGGGAGGGACACTATGGAAGAACCAAATCCAAATCTTCCACTATGGAAGATTAAATCCAAAGCAGGAGTAAAATCACACCTAAGGCTTTAAATGCAGTAGGCCAAATATCTCCTTTATTCTTGCCTGTAGTTATAATCCTTGTATAGCTTCCATAACCCATACAGCCTCAGAAAGCTGAAAATGAACTGATAAACATTTGGACAGAAGGCCATTTGAACAGGCTAACATCTTTTAAGCTTTGCTCATCAAATAGATGATAAAATGGGATTATATAAAGATCATGTACGTAATGCCATTGGACATTCACAAATGACATTTATTTTCTTTTTGTTATTCACTTTTGCTTTTTTTATAGCCTTCAGTTCAGTGTACATTAGATTATAAAATACAAATAATAGCTCAGGTCCAACTCACTATTCTTCCTACCAGACATAACAGCAGCGATAATACAATAATCTGTGAAATAAAGCAAAAAGTGGAGGGATCAACTTTAATCAAATCAGAGTAGCTATCACAAGACCCCTGCAGCTATGGGCCCTCAACTAGGGAATCTATAGAAAGCCATCTTTTACTAAGACAGTGGAAGAAGTTAAAGGACAGAGGCTTGCTGTGCCTCTGAAAAGGTTCTGACACTTCTAGTCACTGCCTCAACTGCCTCAACTGTTCCTCAGGAAGGAGCTGGAAGGAATATATGGGGAGATGTAATTCAGCCACTGAATGCATGGCTGGTAGGTGGCTTGGTCAGTGCATGCATTATTGTAAGGCTTAACCAATGCAAACTGGCAACCCGTTCTCTTGAGCTTTCATAGGCTACAACCTATGGCTAACCCTGAGGTAAGGTTGCAAGGAGAAACACATTATCTTATACATAAAGCTATTGAAGTCTCTCCATTTCTGCATAAAAGCTTCTCTTAGAAGTTAGTTTTTGCAGATCTTGAGTGGGTTAAAAGCATCCAATAATCATAATAAGTATGTTGCAGAGTATATAGAGTTCTTTACATATTTTAGGTATGTTAGGAATTGTAAGCATTGGACACATATGAAGAGCTTTTTCTTGCTTTTGGTATGTAGCAAGACTTCTACCACCAAACTTTGCTCAGACAATAAAATACACAGAAGAAGTCAGTATTCAAATGCTTAGAAATATGTATGGAATGGTTTTCCTATCAAACATTCAAATGTACAGGAGTTTCAAGAACTTTGCTCGTGACTATTGTTTCGGTTGCTATGGAAACAGATGCTGAATTGCTACCCACATGACAGCGAACAATCAGTATAAAAGGAACTGCTGCAAATACACTGGATAGATGGAGCTTTTAGTGTAATCCTTTATTGAAACATCTGCACTAAGCTCAAATGCAAATGGCCAGAATTATTGCTTCTCAGTGACTCCTTGCATGTACTTCCACAAAAGATACACATGCATTGACTAGATTCCCAGTCCATCCATCCCAGTGTGCAATCTATCCAGTCTTAATTATGGATAGGGACACAAGTATAAAAAAAAAGAAAAAAGGTCTGATTTATCCCCAGAATCAATGCAGCTATTAGTTTAGGTTTGAGATGGAGTGTAACTTTTAAGTATAAATGAAATTCCTTGAGAACATAACTACAGAAATTCCATTGGTGCAAAATGTGGCAGCTTGATTGTTGGTAAGAGCTAGGTGCTTTGACCATGTTCGTCCTTGTTTAATTGTGTTGCACTGGCTGCCAGTATATTTCCGGCTTCAGTTCAACTTGCTGGCGTTAACCATTAGAACTCTAGACAGCTTGGGACTTGGGTACCTGAACAAGCGTCTTGTTCCATATGTTACCTCCTCACCCTGCCACATCCTCCAGTTGTTGCCTGAGGCACTACTTCCTATTCCTTGAGGCCTTAGGAAGGTGGGTGGACAGCCTCAAGCAAACAGCCTCAAGATCTAGACTATAACATTCTCAGCTGATGCTCTGCCAACAGATATTTCTCAAGTTCTGACATTATACTGTTTTAGGTGGTATGTAAAAGTGGAGCTCTTTAAGAAAGTGTGTGTATGTGGTGGGGGGGTGATTAAAGCATTTTAATTGCCCTATTTGCAGTGGTTTAAACTGCTGTTCTGCTGGGCTGGTTGATCAAAAGGTCACTGGTTCAAATCTGCATAACGGGGTGAGTTCCTGTTGCTCTGTCCCAGCTCCTGTCAACCTTGCAGTTCGAAGGCATGCAAATTCAAGTAGATAAAAAGGTTCCACTTCAGTGGGAAGGTAACAGTGTTCTGTGCACTTAAGTGTTTAGTCATGCCGGCCACATGACCACAGCGACTGTCTGGGGACAAATGCTGGCTCCCTCGGCTAGGAAATGGAGATGAGCACCACCCCCTAGAGTCAGGCATAACTGGACTTTAATGTCAAGGGGAAACCTTTACCTTTATTTAGCCCATATGGTTAACTTTTTTTAAAAACATACTCTTGTTTATTATCTTGGGTTTTTAAATTTGGTTCTAAACATTAATGATTATGCCTGCTCACTGTCTTGAATTCCCTTTTAGGAACATAAGTAGGATATAAGTTATTAACCTAAAATAAATAAATATAATACTTTGATATTTGTTAATATATTGAAACCCCTAATTGTCTAAATCCCTAAAATTCCATATATTAAAATACTATTGTAGTGCATAGTGCTATTGCTTGCCTATTGATTGATTTGAGTTGGCACAAACATATATTTCATACATGAAATAACGTTGCTGGCTGGAAATTCATTTACAAGCCATAGTGCTGGTTTTTACCTTTAAAGTCCTGCAATAGTCCGGGTGCCAGTTATCCTGGGAAAATGCCTTTATCTATAAACTGCAAGTGAGGGCCTCTTCAGTTCCTCTCTTATAGGGAGGATAGCTTTGCTTCCACAAGAAACAGGATTTTTGTCACAATTCTAACTTTGTGGAATGCCCTCGTGCACACTGATTGTGAGCTGTCTAATTTGTATAATTATCCTTACTGCGCACAGGTTGTATGGTGTCAAAACTGCCAGGAGAACAGGACTGAGATAACTTACAAATCAGCTTGAACTGGAGGGACACAGTGTGCCTATGCCAAAACAACAACAACATTGTAGCACTTTGCAAAAACTACTTTTCAAATTTTTTTAAAAAGATGAAGTGGAGAAAGATGACTTGGGTTTTTTGGTATTCTCGTGTGTCCGTAGGCTACCCTCAATTTTCATAGTTTGCATAACCCAGGAACACAAAAACCATGCTTGCATAATGCAAGAATCATGTACAAAAAGGGTAGAATTGGGAGCTATACCCCTAATTTCACCCACTGTCTAGCAGGGTCCCTGGAGTTTTTTTGTGTGGTGATCCCAAAAGAGTCCCTTTTTCAGCGGGGTCCTCTTGCTTTTGCAGATATCTTTGAAATTATAGCTGCATAGCTTGGAAGATTTCCATTGACAGGCGTGAGGCCTGACAATTCTCTTGAATGGTCAAACAGAGAGTTTCATTTAAAAGTGTGATCTGGAAGGGCTTAAAAACTTCTAGTTTGTCAGGAAAGTACACAGATATATGAATTCTATATGCATGTATGATTCCCTTCAAAATAGAAATTTCCTTACAAGTCCCAGTTAGATAACTTGGTTTGTCACAAATTTGACATGTGTCAAACTCAGCATTCCCATCAAGTGAGAACCCCCTATAGCAGTGGCGGTGAACCTATGGCATGCGTGCCGCAGCGGGTGCACAGAGCCCTCTCTGTCGGCACACGAGCCAAGTCTCCCCAGCATCGCCCCAGCAGCCGAGCATCAGATAACAGTGCACATAGGGGCCATGCGTATGCTCAGAAAGGAGTAGCAGCGCCAGGTGATGATGTCACAAGCCACGACTCATCAGCCACGAATCGTCCGAGTTTTCACATGGCCAGTCAGTGCACTGCTAAGAATATCTGTATATTTGCTTGGACTGGCTATGACTTGTTTTTTCTTAACTAAAACCTCACTTTATGGGTTTTATTGTAGTGTTGGCCCTTTGTGATAAGTAAATGGGTTTTGGGTTCCAGTTTGGGCGCTCGTTCTCTAAAAGGTTTGCCATAACTGCCCTATAGTTTTGACTGTTCCTGATCAGGGGCAACTCTTTCAAAAGTGAGGGGCCAGCAAGAATACCTGATTTCTCCCAAAGAAACCAAAGAGCCTTGCTATGAAAAGGTAGAAACTAACCCATTTCTGCAAACTGCAGTCTCTCAGGGCTTTACAAGGATCTGAGAGGTCAAGTTATGTTAGACCAAACAGAAGTTTGCAAAGGAGGAAAATACTTAGCTGAAGCTTAGGCTCAGTTCACTGTGTAACTTTTGTAACAACACAGAATTTCACATTGATGCCATTTTTACAAATGTGAAACTAAGGAGCACTTACAGGTTATGGCAGCATCACATATTGATAGGGTGGGAAAAGTAATTTTCTCTCATGGGTGTTATTCACTTCCTTATGCCTCTCATGCAATGTTTCCCTTCTAGAATTATTGAAGTAGCATGGGATTCGCCTATGTGAAAGTGGCAACCAAAATGCTAAACTAACACCAGAATTGGCCTTAAAACATACTCAGAAATGAATTGCAGTGAAGCCAAAATCATGAGACACAAATGCACTCGTGTGTGTTGGTGGTTGTGGGCAGGGGGTAAGAATTGCTAATTAAAAAAATATACAATCTGATTATTTCATCTGGAATCATTTTATTTTGTAGGATTTTGAGCTAAACAATGAGCTGAAGATGAATGTTCTAAATCTGTTAGAAGAAGTTTTGCGAGACCCTGACCTTTTGCCACAAGAAAGAAAAGCTACAGCAAACATCTTGAGGTAGGGAGGTTTAATTAATGGTATTATAAGAAAGAAAGATACAGAAAGCAATGCTATCTTGCTTTAGCCACAGGCTGTTTATTTTCAAGCAAACAAAGTGAAATTCAATTACATTTATAAGAAAAAAATGCTGGTAGTTAACAAATTCCTTAAAGCGATTAAAAAACCACTTTTCTCCGAATACTCATGATGAGTCTAGCAAAATGCAAGATGTGCAAGAGAGTGCTGTCCTATGCATGTTTAGACATAAAAAAGTCCTACAACCCCTTTTTCAGCTGAAATATACATAAACTTGCACTGTTTAAGTAGACAAACTGCTTAGTGAAGTAGATGGAAGCAGAGACTTCTTCCTTCTGCAGCCCTTGCAAGGGACACATACCCCAACATCGCATATTTCCTTCCCTATCTCCTTTCATGACCTTTTTGATCTCTCTTCTGCCAAGTTTGGCTGCAGCCTGAAATGTTAATAAAATTCTGCATTTGTTACATGGAAGGTACTTGAAAATGCTAAACATCCCCCATGCCTTATTCTACCCCAAGCAATGAGCAGCAGAAAACAGTTGTGTGTGATGGTAGAAAGTTGCCAGCAGATCCTTTCCTCCACTGTGTAACCCCCACCCCTGCCACTAGTTATGTGGGTTGGGGCATATTAGATTTTTGTACTCCCCTACTTTCAAGTAGGATTGTACTATAGGAAAGTCCATGTCTAATGGAGTGCTGATGGTGCTGTTTTGTCATGCAGGATTTGTGTAGTCTTTACACAGTGAGCTTCCTTATGGGGGCTGAGGAGTGGTTCAATTAGTTCCCTGTTATGATGGAGCATTTCTTGCTTGTTGCAAATATAAATGTCCCTAGAAACAGAGGTTTCCATCCTCCAGGGCTGCCCTTGTGGACTTTCTATGGTGTACTGAGGGTTGTATACAATAACTTGTGCCAGGTACCCCCAGCTAGGTAGGCATTCCAGGAAAGCCAGCCATGCAATACACACTGACAATTCTGGGCACAGCTTGATAAGTTACAGTTTAGAATTTGACATGGAAAATGGGGAGATCTCATAATCAGGCAGCCTACCTGTTGCCCAATAAAGGTAAAGGTAAAGGTTTCCCCTTGATTTTAAGTCCAGTCATGCCTGACTCTAGGGGGTGGTGCTCTTCTCCATTTCCTAGCCGAGGGAGCCAGCATTTGTCTGCAGACAGTTTCCATGGTCATGTAGCCAGCAAGACTAAACACCAAAGTGCACAGACTGCTGTTACCTTCCCACCGAAGTGGTACCTTTTTATCTACTTGCATTTGCATGCTTTTGAACTGCAAGGTTGACAGGAGCTGGGACGGAGCAACGTGAACTCACCCCGTTGTGCAGATTTGAACCGGCGACCTTTCGATCAACCAGCCTAGCAGCTCAGCAGTTAAGCCACTGTGCCACCTGCATCCCTCTCATCCATCCCTCTTGTGTATTGTTGTCCAATACACAACCTAAAATGGGTGCTGTGGTGGCCCTTTAATGAGAAGAGGTTTCACTGGAACATGAATTGGTCTTGCCATAACGTATATCATTTGCACAGTTTCCTGCTCCCCTGGGAGTGGTGCCCACATTCAACTCTTGGGCTGGGCTTCAGCCCCATGCTTCTCTCACCCTCCCCCAGGAACTATCCCTGTCCTTGGTAAGGAGGAGGCATGTACTCCCTTCCCTTTTGAATTGGATTCCGTGCAGGAAGAGATGCCAGCGCTGAAGCCCCCTTTACACAGTGACAGTGTGGACTGGAGAGAGCCCTCCAGCCCACTGCACCCAAGCGGGCCAAGGGAAGAGCACAGGTGGGACACTGTGTGAGTAAAGCCAGGACGGTTTGCCTTTCCTTCCACAGCCACCCATGCCTCAGAGCAAACCAGAGTCCCTGGGGCAGCAAAGGACTTGCGTTTCTTAAAAGAAAAAATAGTCCTGTATTGCCCCACTGTGGTGTAATGACTAGAATTCTGGGACTTAGGAGATCTGGGTTCTAGTCCCCACTTGTCCATGAAACTCAGAGATTTTCATCCTAAGCCATCTCACAAGTCTATTGTGCAGAGAGGGGAAGGAGTACAATGTAAGGCACCTTGGGTTCCTGCAAACGCTAAGAAAAAAGATATAAATGTAATGATAATGATACTAATAATATAGTCACCATTGAGCTCATTGGGACTTACTTCAGAGTAGTCATCCATCGGGTAGAAATTATTTCAAAGCAATAGTAATAAAGTTTGCTATATTTTATTTCGTAATACCATGGAAGTGCCCTTTTTTGCTGAAATATTTATTGTCTTTTGCTATAAAGAGATTGGTTTTTCAATGAAATGTTTTGCCAACTTTTTTTAAGGGCACTGTCTCAGGAGGATCAAGATGACACTCACTTAAAAATAGAGGACATAATGCAGATGGTGAGTTCATCTAGATGTTTGTCAAATTAGGGGAACTAAGTATAAATATTGCTTGGCCATTTGCTCATTGGAGCCTTAGTAGCAAATTCCTATTCCTTTTATATTTGCACTTGATCATTCTGTGTTCAAATTGTTCAACAATTTTTAGAAACAGGTGAAAGAAAAACTTGCACATGAACCCTGCTTTGGTAGGAAGTTATGCAAAATATAGGCCTTTCTTCTGAATACACAGTGGAGGTCAGTTAGAATGGGGCATTTCTATCAATGGAACCCTTGTATGGTCATTCCTGGTATCTTATTATGCAAATTATTGGAAATTGTGGTGTCAGTTTGCAAGTGAAAGCACAAACAAAAGCATATTGAAGAAAAAGACTGTGTGCTGCCTTAAACCACAAAGAAGTTATTTACATGGGGAAAGGATCAAATGGAGTTGAATTTGAAGCACAGAAAGGCTCCATGCTGGCAAAGCAGATAGTTTTGCAATTACAGCACTTGCCAATCAAGGTGTAAAGTGCTCCATGTAACAGTGACAGCAAACTAGTAACTTTATTTGATGCTCAAAACTCAGCACAAACCATTTAATGAATTTAAGCTTCCATTTCCCCATTCTGCCTAGATGCTAAAGGGATCTGCCCATGTTATTCACCTGTACTTTTAAGTGGGTCCTTTCACGCTTATTTTTTGGTAAATACTGAATAATTATCAAGTTCTTCTTTATTCTGCTGAATATTTTACCACTCTTTCTCATACTGGACTGAGGTAGTGAGTGCTTTCAGAATTGCAGCCAAAATGCAGCCACTGAGAAACAAGAAGGAGATCTCAGCATGCTGTGGGGAGGGTGGGACCTTAAGGTTTGCAGAAGTTAAAAAGTACTCATTTTTGAAATATTAAAGGAGCAACCAACCTCCAGGATGGAGATACGAGTAGAGCTTGCTTTAATAGCTACAGATTACGGATGTTTCATTGGTAAAAAGAGGCAGAAAACAGTGGCAAGGGGGAATAGAACAGCCTGGTGGAGAAGGCACCCTGAGTGGGAGCATTCTTCTTAGGAGGCAAGGTTTCTTGCATTACTTGTCCTTTTCTGTTAACCATCAGAAATCACTAACACTGATCTTAGCACTCTAAAGAATAATATGACATTGTCCTTGCACAATTGGGACTATGCAAATAGTTCTCATTCTCTATCTAAAAACATTCTATGGATAGATAACTAAAGCACAGAAAGAAAAAGAGTGATATCAAGGTCCTGTAGAAAGTGGTTTATTTATGAAAACCACTAAAACATGAATCCCCAGCTGGAAGGTGCCCACTGTCTCTTCCAACAGCACAATGTGGACCACTGCAGGAATCCCCAAAGGGTTTAATTTTTCCCCCGTCTTAATATGTGTACATAGATTTGTATATTTGTTACGTTATGTTATTTGTGAAGTCGTGCCCAACCCACTGCCACCCCATGGACAACACCCCTACAGGCTCTCCTATCCTCCACCATCCCCTGGAGTCCACTCAAGCTCACACCAACTGCTTCAGAGACTCCATCTAGTCACCTCATCCTCTGCCATCCCCTTCTTCTTTTGCTGTCAATTGTTTGCTCTACTTGTTATTCTCTCCCCTACCTAACTGCCTTGCTGTTTATCTTATCTTCTCCACCCCTTTACTATTCTATTTTCACTTTCCTTGCAGCCTCTAGATTTGCAATTTCTCTTCCTCTTTTGACCAGCCAGACCCCCATGGCAGCCATTATATGACCCACCAGATCTCCCATGGGAACAATTTTGTAGTGTTGCCCACAGCAGTTTCTCAAAGTCTGTAATGTGCCCAGTTCAAATTTAGGATCAAATGTCAAAGCCTCTAGAAATTGTTAGCATAAGTATTACTTCTATGAAGAATTATCTAAGTTTATAACTGAAATACAGTACAAAGAAACACTGCAACTACCATAAACACAGAGACTTTTGTAGAAAGCCCTCTTAGGCAGACAATGACTAAAGGCTTTCTTTTAAAGGACTCAAAAGAGTCATATTAAAGTATGTATGGCTACTCATAAAATGTACAAATGGATCAATTGTAGTAATAAACATGCTTTACCCCATGAAGGTGTGATAGAAGAGATGGATAAATAAAGTATATTATTGTTAAATGAATTGCTTTGTTTTTTAATTTTTTTTCCAAAATAGATTAAACTATTTTTAAAGTGCTTTACTTTTACTGGATTATATCCAAAGTAGCTATTCCTCTTCCCTAGCAGAGCCCCCCTCTTATGTTGGTTATTTTCCTTGTACTCACTTTCCTTCCACAAATGATAGGAACTGGGCAGTAAAATTGATAGAGCGATTATTAACCTAACACAGAATGGAATAAACTCAAAGAATTGCAATTGCCTTTTTTATTCATTATGTGCTTCTTTGCTTACAGTTAGAATGTCCAAAACCAGAGTGCTTTGAAACTTTATCAGCCATGGAGCTTGCTGAACAAATAACTCTCTTAGATCACATTGTTTTCAGAAGCATACCCTATGAGTAAGTAGTTTTTCAATAATTATTTTCAAGTGGAAATATTTTCTAAATGAACTTCTGGATGATACACTGATGTACCCAACTGATAGGCCCATGAAAAGAATGCATAACAGTACTATATTTGCACTGCTTAGGATCGATCATATTGTAAGTGAAGTATGAAGGACTAACATCAAAGTACTGAGAAGCAGCACACCAGTTCTGTTGCACTTCTTGGGAAGCAGGATATAGTTCATTTCCTTATCTGTATACATTACAGCCCTGGCAATAATATTTCCCTGCGAGCTGTCAGTTCAGGAAGTCTCTAGGACTGAGAACAAGGCCAGGAAAGGCTGGACATACCCACCTCTTTTTAAACCAAGCAGTAGTGATACTACCATAGCAGGAATTTAAAAAATATAAAAATCCTATACATCTCTGGATATTTGGGGATGGTGGATAGACTGGAGGTATATGAAAACTGTATGACTCACACAAGGTATAGCTTCTTTAATTGGAATAACAGGACTAGAATGTATCTTTGGGACTCTACAAGAAACTTGCAAATTGCAACTCCTCTAAGAATTCTCTAAAGAAGGCATACCAGTGAAGACCTGGACACTTTGTTGCCAAAGCTGGCCTCAGCTCTAATAAAATTATTGAGGAAACCTTTGGCAGCAAAGAACCTTTCTGGCAGCAAAGATGCCACTATGTTCTGAATCTGTGTAAAATAGAGGCTCTAAGACCATCAGTATGGGAATTAGGCCCTGCTTCTTGGGCTGAGAGGCAAAATGAATGAACTTGAAATAAATAAAACTTTAGTCTGATGTTTCTTATGTTATTATTTTCTTTCTCCTTTTCCAGAGAATTCCTTGGGCAAGGCTGGATGAAAGTGGATAAAAATGAAAGGACACCCTATATTATGAAAACGAGCCAACACTTTAATGATGTAAGTTGCTATAGAAACAGAATACTTTCTAGGAATGAAAAAGTGGATTAAAAAGGTTTCAGCTTTTTCATGGCAAATTATGCAACCAGAATGCTCCTTTTTTTCTGAGTGGCTAGTGGGCAATGGGGTGTAGTAGCAATTGAAATATTTGTAACCACAGAGAACTGGCTGAACACTATAAGCACTGGCCAAAGGAACTGAGTGATGACTATGTTTTGTGAAGACAAGTGAAAGCAATATTTTATTTATTTGTACTATTTCTGCAGTGGTAAAAATTTCAAAACCCTCAAGCCATTTCCATATAAATATTAAAATCACATTTAAAATACAACTTTAAAAATTGACACTGATGTTGCAGGGCAGTACAGGAGTCGTGAAATGGGACAGCTGGATTAATTGAAATATGAGCCAGAAAAAGGCTGTGTGAACAGGTGTATTTTCAGGCTTTGGAAAGATGTCAAAATTTTTCCCTTCTGAATTTTCCCCCCTATAGGGTAGGTACCACTACCAAGAAGGCCCACCATCAAGGTGTTACATAGTGAGATTCCAATAATTTTGGAATAGCCAGAAAGGCCCTTTCCAACAATCTTAATGGTTGGTTGGTGGGTTGGTTGTGCATTTATAAGGAAAAACATTATAGATATGCTTGATATCCTGGTGCTAAGTTTTTTCAGGCCTTTTACATAATCTTGAACATGGCTTTGTAGCCAATAGGTAACCAGTGCAGCTATTCTAATATAGATGTTATGTCAGTATAGTTGGGTGTCCCAGTGCGCACCCTAGCTGCCTCATATTGTACTCGCAGCAGCTATTCAACCAAACCTGAGGATAGAACCACATACAGGTAATTAACTGTGAGCTTTCCAGTACCTGGATTATTGCCTAGATTATTAGATTATCTAGGAATCCCCATGGTTGGTATTGGATGCTCCAGGCCACCAAGGTCACCTGGGCTTCTATGACAAAGATGGATCCAGGATTACTCCAAATTATGTATCTGCTCCTTCAGAGCAAGTACAAGCCCATCCAGAACAGTTAAACAGCCCACTTCATAGACCTGAGAAATGCCAGCCCAAAGGGTCTGTATCTTATTAGGATTCTGCTTCAGTTTATCATCTAAGCTGTACAGGCACCAGTTCAGCCTGTACGTGTCCTCTTCCAGTTCAGATCTCACATAGAAATGGTGCTAAGTATCATCAGTGTACTGGTGACAGTTCCCCACAAATTTCCTGAAAACTGCATTCAGTTTATATAGATATTTGAATTGAATCTGATCCCACAACACATGATAAGACAATGCACTGGACACATTAACAGACACTATACCAATAACAGTGCCCAGGTTAGTACAAAGGCACACAAATTCAAAGTGTCTTCTAGACTTGTCATAGTGGAACCCCATGAGTTGCATTACTGGCTTCACTGGGTTAGATGAAAGTAACCCCCTAGCCACTTGGGAAGACTTGAAGCTAGATGGGTATTCAAGGATGTGATGGAGCTGGAAATGAAAGCTGATTTCATCATCATGTACTAGGCACAATTATGTGTTTTACGCATGCTGGATCACCTTCATGACAGGTCAGGAACTTTGAACATTCCTGTTCCCACAGTCACCATCCAAATGATAAATGGTGCTTCTTCAGAGTTCACTTGCCACCCACAGAAGGACTGCTCTTTATGCCCCTCTTCCTAGAACTGAGATAGTCACTAGTGTAGCTGTAACTCAGCCCAGCCACAACAAAGTCTCTAAACACAGTCTGTAGCTGAAAACACTCAGAAGCAAGTTGTAACAATCAATCAAACACAACAAGGCAAGACAAACTCAAAGAAAAAAAAATATATGACAAAAGGCACTCTTGTTGGCAGATAGTAACAGATGAAGCAGAAGGCTAGATGTTTCCTTTCAGCCAGTCCCCACTCCTCTCACTTGTTGCTCTGTACTGTTTCCAGCAAATTCTATTACACCCCATTTAATTTAATAGTTCCTGCTTACAAGTCATTCCTCTTATTCTTGACCTTAGCACACTACTGAGAACCATTCCCTACAGCAACATGGCTAGTGCCAACAGCACATTATTTGGTGAATATTGTTCTGCTTTTGTCATTTGTCCCATAATTGATTTGGTCTTGCCCTGTTGCCTTTAGCCATTTTGGTAATATATGTTGTTTTACCCTTCTTCAGAAAGCTGTCACCTTTTATTTCCTTTCTGCTGTTTAACCCTGTATTGTAAATGCAAATATTCTATGGACTTCTTTGACCTAGATGAGCAATCTTGTTGCTTCCCAAATTATGAATTATGCTGATATTGGCTCACGTGCAAATGCAATTGAGAAATGGGTAGCGGTGGCAGACATCTGCCGATGTCTGCACAACTACAATGGTGTTCTTGAAATCACATCAGCCTTGAACAGAAGTGCGATCTACAGACTGAAGAAAACATGGGCTAAGGTTTCTAAACAGGTAAGTAATCTGTATTTATTGATGCATGTCATCAAACAGCTTGTCTAAATGAGTAAGTTATGTCCTTTCTAGAAATACCTGGTAGCTTGCCTTAGTTCAGGTTGATGCAATCGCATCAGTAGAACATCAGTACTTAAACAAGGGGTATCCAACCCACGGCCCAGGGACCACATGCAGCCCAGGATGGCTATGAATGTGGCCCAACACAAAATTGTAAACTTACTTAAAATGTTATGAGATTGGTTTGCAATTTTTTTTGTAACTTGATTGTACAGTTCATGAGCATGAACTTTGTGGACGACGATGTCATGTCACAATGTCACATAAAATAAACGTATGTATGCTCTCGCTATTTGTACACATGCATGGCTTCAGTTTATGGCAAGGTGCAGTTTCCAGTGTGTTAGCTTCCAAGCGCAGACAGTCGAATTGACACCATCAGACATTGCATGTGCTCGTGATTTGGCAAGTGAAATGCAGCTATTATCAGTAATACTTCAACCTACCGTTGCAAACAATTTAATACATTTTGACACATTGTCCTGTGAACAGCGAAAAATATGCAACCTTGCTTTTCGATTTGATTGCTGTTTAGTCACAAAGTAGTGCCCGATCAATCATGACTTCATGGACAATATTTCTACAGGCTCTCCTGTCCTCCACCGTCCCTCAGAGTCCACCCAAGCTCACACTCACTACTCCAGTGACTTCATCTAGCCACCTCATTCTCTGCCATCCCCTTCTTCTTTTGCCATCAATTGTTCCCAGCATTAGGGTCTTCTCCAGTGAGTCCTTCCTTCTCATTAGGTGGCCAAAGTATTTCAGTTTCATCTTCAGTATCTGGCCTTCTAAAGAGCAGTCAGGATTGATTTCCTTTAAGATTGACTGGTTTGATCTCTTTGCAGTCCAAGGGACTCACAGGACTCTTCTCCAGCACCACAATTCAAAGGCCTCAGTTCTTTGGTGCTCAGCCTTCCTTATGGTCCAACTTTCACAGCCATACATTGTAACTGGGAAAACCAA